TAAGGAAATCTATGACAATTTCGGGTGTTATGGTGTCCATACCATACTTAATTGTATTCTTAACTTCTCTATATGAATCAGACTTAGAATTTAGCAAAAGATGGCTTCATAAGTTTTAGACACCTTCTCGTCACAGTTACAATACAAAAGTAATTACTAACTTGCATTCAAAATTCAACACTTCAAATAAACTAATTAATTCCTAAATTTCTAACACAAACAATGGTTACCCTTTCACGATAACCCTCAATCCTAATGTCATCCCACATGATGACGGGCTAATGCTAAAATTTAAACGAGATAAGCCAATTTACCTGAGCGGACCTATCCGAGTTCATAAATTTTGAGGAGTATAATTTTAACACTTTAGAGTCATCACTATTCGCCCTAAAGTCTCTAGCAACTGCGGCAACCAACCAGCGAAAATTGAATTTCGAATGCAGGGGACAAAAAATCCAGATTTTACTGTATACCCTAAAACATAAAACTAACAACAAAAAATCGTTAGAAAAGTTAAAATAAAGATTCTGCCCGAAGGAAGTTTTACTAGAAAAGTCGTCATACGCCGCCACTCTCCTCCTCTGCACTAGGCTTCACACGCCACCGCCACTGCTACGCGCCGTTGTCGTCTTCACGCGCCGGTCAACCAGAAGTGCCCCTACCTACACATTCCAACAGTGGTCACCGTTTTTTCCAAATTTCCTATGGTTTGGCTGGAAATCAAGATTGCAGGTGTGGTTTTGGGGAGAAAAATGGACAGCTTCTTTGCTTCGATTTCTGCCGGAAGTCTGGGTCGTTTTTGGTCAAAACCCACCACCAAACCTCGCTTTGATACCGAATGTTAATTTTAGGTGCTCAATATACCAATAATTCAAGTTCAGTCAACACCAAACCGACACCACAAAGCAACAAACCACAACTTCCAAAACCAATAGCTCCCAAACCAACCAGTTGCTCCAATAAAAGTCAGTCCACAAAGGACTCGGTGTGAAGAAGAAAGTTGCTTTAATGTTCAGCCACTAAGTCTAAGGAAGATGGGAGAAAATTTATCACTAAAAGGCACAAAGCCAAAACACAAAGCAAACAAGTGAATCAGTTTTCTCTTCTCAATGGAAACGGCTTCCCTCAATTTCACACACTTACCAACAGTAATGGGCAAGTGGTTAAATATGTGAACTTTAGGTTTGGGCCTTATGTCAAATGATAGGGCCCAATATGAAGAGTATAAGTGGGCTAAAAACCGTAGAGCCATCCAAGTCTTTGGGTCAGGCCATGAGAAACCCTAATTAAATTAGGCTACTTCATATGTCCCAAACAGGTTGTGGGTTTGATCCAAACTATTTGAAAAACAAAATATTCGACCCTACTACACCCAGAGGGAGGTGATTAGGTGTAAATGCGGAATTAATACTTAACTAACATGCAACAAGTCACAAGCAAATTATGTCTAGGTGATTAGTCAAACAATTCAATTTAACATATCTTGAAATACCGCAGTAATGCCAAAACAATAAATAAAGCAATAAACAACACCAAAATTATTTACGGAGAAACCCAACGTGGGAAAAACTCCAGACACTTTTCTCAGTCAAAGATCCAATATAAACTGTTAATAAAATTTATAGACTACGAGCAAAGTTGGCAACACAAGCTTTCTGATCTCCCGTCTGAAGTATGAAGCAACCTTCCTGAAATGTGCACACCAACACCAATCCTGGCTTTTTGTAAAGCAGTCCTTCTGGAATGAGTACACGAACTCCAATCCTGACTCTTTACGGATGTTATCTCCTATAGATCTTTTTAAGAACTTCTCGTTCTTCATATTCTTTTTTGATCTTCAATGCAACACAGTTGACGGCACAATCTTGCAACAGACCCAAGCGAATAAACCAATTCAGTGTTTGATTTGATAGTTTTGATGTTTNTTCGTTCTTCAAACTCTTCCTTGATCTTTAATGTAGCACAGTTGACGACACAATCTTGTACCTTACCCAAGCGAAGAATGGATTCCATTGTTTGATTTGATAGTTTTGATGTTTTCACAATGACATGCACATGAACAGTGGAATGATTGAAATTTGATTCTAGTAAACATGTATTCTCCTTGACTAATATGATGTTCAATTTGTTTCACAAAAAATACGGCGCCTCAATATATAGGTTTGACGAAATAGATTGTATGATCCAAGTAAAAATCTCGGAAATAGAAAACTATGTTTCCCAAAATAATATGTCGTTTGAGCGAGGTGGCTTCTTCCCTCGATCGAAGGGTCTGTCTCTCGAGCGATAATGGGGCGAAAGTCTAGCGAGGTAGTTTCCGTTTCAGTCGATTAAACATCACTCCGGCGAGCAACTAGTGAAAATTCAGCTTGAATCCTTCTTGTTCCAAACATAAAACCCCAAACCCTAAGCTAACCTA